TAATAGTAAATTTTATAAATAAAATCCAATAAATAAAGGATTTTATAAAACTAACATATTTTACACATTTTGGATTTTTAATTGCAAAATAAATTAAAAGTAGAGCGTAGAGTGACTCTGACTCGGGAGATTGACATTAGACTCCAGATGATGACCGAGACGACCCTAGACTCTACCGGACAAGTTGAGCTAGAGGACTTTGATGAATTCAAGGATATGCATCTGAAGCCATGCAAACGGGTTGCCTAGTCCTTTGGTGCATACCGAGCTTCTCTTGATGGGGTATGGATTTTATTCTTTGATTTTGATTCAGCTTGTATTTTTGGTGAGGGCTTTGAGATAGGATACTGATCCATGATGTATAAAGGGTTCAGTTGACACTTGGATTTTTGATACTCTAATATTAAATATCTAAATATTAAATATTTAATAAATACTAGTATGCAGAGATTACTGACACAGACACAAGACATGGATATATGATAAAGACAGATAGAGATAGATGACAGAGATAGTAGCCTAGGAGATGAGACTTTTCGTGATCTGCTTTTTACATAGCTAATACTGATTTGGGATATGTAAAAAGGAAATCGTGTTGACAATTTTTTTTTTTGAAAGATCCTTTATGAGATTGCTGCTTTTAAGCTTTAATTTTTGCCTAAACCGCCTTTGCGGGTTTTCGATTTAGCTGGCCGCCCTAACTTTTGCCTAAGTCGCCCCTTTGGGTTTTCGACTTAATGGGCTCTTCTGATTTTGCCTAAGCTGCTTACCCTTTGATGCGATGCAAATACTTATATATTTTTACACTAAAATCCCCCTAAATTAACTAATAAAATGACTATATACTTTAAGAAATTTGTAGAATTCCAGTTTTATGCAGGGAGGAACCTCAAAAATTAAAAAAGATATATTCTTCATAAAACCTGCAGAAATATTGGCAAATGGACCTGAAAAAGCCCAATTTGAGAGCTAACATTATAAGCCCATGTCACAAGCCCAAATTGAGGATAATCTACGGAGAAAAAGAAACCCATAAACTGAGCCTAGAAGGAGAAAAGCCCAAGTCCAACAAGATGTAAAAAGTTAGGCTATCGCCTAAGAAATGAAAAGAGACAAAAAGGAACTTAGGCTATCGCCTAAGCCAGGGAAGAGAGGCTAGGAGACCACCTAAGTACACTAGGTGATCTCCTAAGTCCAAAACCGTCATCATGCGATCTCATAAGTGCAACTCACACTCCAGGCATTCTTCTATGGCCAAGATACCATCTAGGCGATTTCCTACAAGCACCAGGCGACCTCCTATTGATGAAACACTACTTCAAGCGGTCTCTTATGGGTGTTAGGCGGTCTCATATATACCAAAGACAAATCAAGCGAGCACCTACACTAGTTCCAAGGCTAAAAGTCCCCATTCATTGAACGATAACTCATGCTTAGCTGTAATCTGATTGGATGTAGCTCACTTGCCCCACTTGCCAAATTAAGTAGAGAAGAGTAACCTCCAAGCGTCTGAGTGCTATAAATAACAACATACATCAACAGAGAAAAGGGCAGGTTAGCTAAGAAAAAAATAGAATATGATTCAGTGGGACTCCAATTGCTCTTTGAAGCATATGGAACCTTATTCATGAACAATTTATTTGACGACGATACAAATTTGGTCCAAGTATAGGCCTAGTCGCCTAGCATAAAATTGTGATTTATAATATAAATTTTATAAATTAAAATCCAATAAATTAAAGATTTTTATTATATAATAATTTTTTACAATTTTGATTTTAATTCATAAATTAATAATTTTTGTTGTAGGCATGTGTATAAAATCTTCCGATTTCATGATCTCATTTACGATTTAATTTTTACAGACCATCTACCAATTCTATTTAATAAAGCGATTTTAACAACCTTGGTGGTAATTCTTGATATTCAATAGATCAAACTTGTATCTTATAGTACTATAACTTCACTGCAAGAAAAAAAGTTTGAATGTTCCTTTTTAAAGGCGTAATTGATTCTATAAAGACCCAGCTGACATTAGCTGAAGATAGATGATGGGCCATGCAATGCACATTTTTAGTTGATGGAAAAAAAGTTAAAGACAATAAGTTGAGGAAATAATTTTTTATGTGATCAAGCACCTATTGGCGAGACTTTTAAGACCAGCTTGAAGTCACGGATCATAGAAACATTAGCACTAGGTTTTATGATGGATCTTTTGAACTAGCCTCCATCTAAATGGTGTAGAGCTTTTCTTGAATGCCAGTAAGTACTACATAATTGATAATAATATATGTAAAAGTTTTAAGCGGAATGTCTTCAGCTTTAGAACTAAGAACATTGTGACCATGCTTGAAGAGGTAAAGGTAGGTAGTGATAAGGAGAAGCTACAAAATGGGTTATTTACATTAGTTTTGCAGCCATTGTAAAGCTAGAAAAAAATATAATAAAGCTTGTAATTGCCATATAGACTTCAATTTGATGACGAGAATGAAATCTTAGAAGGAAAAGACATATATATAATTGAAATGGTTTAAAAGGCATGCACTCATTTTTGGCTTCTCATATTTCAAGCTCATCATCAACTAATACTTGATTCCTTGATAGTAGTGCTACCAGTAAAATGGGCAAAGATGCAAATTTATTTAACACTTTGGACATATCTTTTAAAAGTAAAATAAACCCAGTTAATAGTGACAAAGTGAAACTCAAGAAAAATAAATTGTTGCTTTTCACTAAGCTTCTTAATTACTAGTGTATTTTTCATTCTTAGCTTAGATCATAACCCTTGAGTATTAATCAAATGTTAAAAAAGAGGTTATGCTCTGGTCTTCGGAAACAAAATAAGATGATGTTGAAATTACAAAAGTTAAGATGATAGGCAATAGTTTTCCTTGGAATTTAGTTTCATAATGTTCCTTTAATATGAAATAGATTTAGTCATTACAACCTTAAGTCTTAAATTTTTGCAAACTAAGGAAATGATAAGAGATAGGTCTGAAGTTAGCTTGAAAACTGAGGTGTGTAGTACTTGTCAATTGGGAAGATGCATAGAGATTCTTTTACTGTAAATGAGTCTTGGAGAGCTAAGAGACATTAAAGCTAATTCATACTGATTTTTGTGGCGCTATGAGTGTCCTCTTAATCAAAATAAATACTTTGTTTTGCTCATTGATGATTTCACTACAATGTCCTAGGTTTATTATCGCAATAGAAAATCACAAACTTTCAAGAAGTTGGAAGTTCTTATAGAGACTCAAAATGGCTGCAAAACTAAAACTTTAAGATCTAACAATTGCGGTATACTTCACAAGAAGTTGATAAATTTTGTGAATATTCAAGCAAGAATCATTAACTTATGTTAGGTATACTCCACAATAGAATGAGGTGAGTGAAAGAAAAAATAAAGCCATTATTGAAATGACTAGATTTATATATTTGAGAAGAAATAGCCAAAGATATTTTGGTTTAAAACTGTTTATATAACAGTTTATCTTTTGAACAAATTCCTTACTAAGTCTGTAAAAAATAAAATCATCTCCAGTTGACACATGAAGTGGTTCAAAACCTTTAGCAAATCATCTAAGAGTATTTGGTTCTCTTTGTTATGTGCTTGTACCAGCTGCAAAAAGAGCCAGTTAGATGAAAAAGTTGAAAATGGTATTTTTCTTGAATATGATACTCAACCCAAAGACTACAAAATTTATAATGTTCAAACTAAGAAAATGATGATTTGTAGAGGTGTTAAATTTGATGAAATTATCTTACGGGATCTGGAACCAGACCAAATTGGAAAGATTCTAATATATATCAAGAAACTCCCAAACAAAAAATTTTAGAAGATGAAGTTAAAAATCCAAGTCCTTCAATTGCTAATGAAGAACTAGATGATTCAGAACCTGATTCACTAGTCTTGAGAACTAAAATCTTTTAATTAAAATTTTATGAAAGGTACAATTTTGCAAAATCAAAACTTGTCACTAATGAATAAGTTTCATAATTTGAAGAATGACAACCAATGAAATGTAAGATTGAAATAATTGCGAAAAATTAAACTTGGGAGCTCACCTCTATACCCAAAAGCAAAAATATGACTAGTGTTAAACGGGTTTACGGAGTAAAAATAAATCATGATATTCTATCTTCAAGCATAAGGCAAAATCATGATCTTCTATCGTCAAGCATAAGGCAAGACTGCTGATAAAGGGTTCCTCACCAAGCTGGTCTTGATTATGGAGACACTTTTGCTTCAGTGGCCAGGCGTGATATAATTAGATTGCTTTTAGCAATTACAACTCAACATGGCTAGGAAGTGTTTCATCTTATGTTCAATTAACTTTTTACATGGTTCACTTCAGGAAGAGATTTATGTTCATCAACCTATAGGTTTTTCTGGTTAAATGGTTGGAAGATAAAGTCTATAAACTCAAGAAAGCGTTCTATGGCTCGAAGCAAGCTCTAAGAGCTTGCTATAGCATATTTGACAATTATATGCTACATTAAGGTTTTAGGAGTGAAAATAAAGCTACATTCTATGTGAAAGCTTGCTATGATGAAAAGTTATTTATTCTTTCTTTATATGCTAATGATCCCCTTGTTACAGGAATTTATTCAAGTTTGTTACATCCACGTCAAATGTGAAGCAAAAATTTGAAATGTCAAACTTAGGTTTGACGAATTATTTCCTGGAGATGGATATTCATCAATGGAAGGCAAATATCTTCATGTCTTCAAAGAAATATGCTTTAGATGTTTTGAAGAAGTTTAACGCGCAAAACTCCAAATCTGTAGTTGTTCCACTATCCCCAAATGAAAAATTTTCTAAAGATGATGGTGAAAAACCTTCTAATGTATCTTTTTATAGGTCTAACAGGTAATTTGTTTTATTTGACCACTACGAGGCCTGACTTAATGTTATCAGTAAGTTTAATTTCAAGATTCATGAATTTTCCTGGTGAATTTCATATGCCAGCCAAAAAGAAAGTCTTGAAATACACAAAGGGTACAACTAATCTTGGTGTTTGGTATTCGAAGTTGATTAACTATGAAATTTGAAAGCTATGTTAATAGTGATTGGCTGGTTGTTTGGATGATATAAAGAGCAAGATGGCATTTTCCTATTTACTAAGAACAACAAATACAAACTGACCAATCTAAATGTAAATGTAAAGTCATTATTAATGAAAATAGACAAAGAATATATGCTTCTTTGTTTTGAATTTTGTATTGCACCCAAGTAGATGATGGCCATTTCATTCGTTTTTGTTTCACCGCTGAGCTAGGAAAGGCTTAAATGTCATCAGCACTCCAATTGCTTCAATCACATTTAAGATGAAGAAGACCAAATGGTTACCTGCATTTAGAAACATCAGCTACTGGGTATAATAATTAGAGGTGTATCCAATTCAAAATACTGCATAAAATTTGATGAAACAAACTTACCTATAGTACCTGTATATCCATTTCCCCTATAATTAATTAGGCATGATCACGGTTCCGTTTTAAACTGGAGCCTAGTAAAATTAAATTATTCAAAACTGACACCAAAACATGGTTAATGGTTCTCAGTTCCAAACTGTAACCGACACCGTGTATTTATGCTTCAGTTTTGGTTCTTTCATTTTTTGAAATCAGAATCGACAGTTTTAGTTTAAATTCGGCAATCACGATTTGAAACGGCGGAAAAAAAATGTTTTTAAAGAAACTCCAAATATATTTTTTATTTTAAATTATAATTTTTTAACATACATCCAACAAAATATATTAAATGCATTGTTTAGCCTCGAAATTTCCTTTCTTTTTTCCCAATCGGAATCTTAAAAGAGAAAAGAGGCAGGATGTTGGAGTTAAACAACGTGTTTAGCATACATCAGTTGAGTTACTAAGGCCCCAATCTTTACTGAATTATTTCTTTCATTTAAAGATAATAATCCACATGAGCAAATTCCAATTAATTGACAGGAATTGAGTCGAAGGCTAATATTAAAATTAATTTATTAAATTTAGTATTTTCTTTGTTAAAAAATAAAAGTTGTGCTGGAATTAAAAAAATCTTAAAAAAGTTGCAATCGAGACTGATCAAGCTAACTTTTATATAAGCCGTTTTTCTTATATTAATTGCTGTTGGTTCTATAAAAAAATTGCAGTTGTTAAATCTGAAACAATTTAATATAATTTTTGGACCACATTAATTTTTGTTAAACACTTTTCAACTGTACTTACATAGTAGAAATGATTTACACTGAAACTTTGGAAAGAAAGCTATTTAATTGAAAAACATTAAAAATGACACATAGCTAGAACAATTTACATATCCTTATTCAATTGTTATTTTCCTCTTTACCGTGGCGCAACCAGAAAAGTTAATTAGAGAGCGTGAAAATTATTTTTCAACTTTTAAAGGAAACGATATTGAAAAATATCACTGTTCTACAGATAAAGGTAAACTTTTCTATATTAAAAAAAAGAAAATTAAATTCACTGGCCACTCCTAGTTCCATTATTGCTCTTTAATTTATTCCATCTCATTCTTACCGATTTCATTTTGGAATAGAGAAAGTCATGATAAATATTTGATTTTTTTTTAAAAAAAAGAAGATAAATAAGATAATAAAAAGTTTTAAAAAATTAAGAAATAAATGGAGGTTTGTGTCTTATACATTTATGGTGGGGTTAAAAAAAAAAATCTTCCAACTAAAATGTGCATGTCCTTACGTGGCTTTTTCTACTTCAGTTAAATAATGTTTGAGCATTTATAAATGACTTCAGAATATATATATGGTGTTGATTTGGGCATATATGGTTTTGAGCTATGATGCACGAAAACTTCTAGCCACAAACATTTTCACGTGTCTATTTTCTTGTATAAAATGTTATTTTTCCATATAAAATTATATTTTAAATGCTTTTTCCACGTATCATTTCGCATTTCATAGTTTCCGTTCTCGTGCAACATAGGTTTTTAGCAATAGGTAGGTTGTGATAATTGGATTTGGAACAATTTCTATTATAGTTTAGCAACAGCAATGGATGACAAATTTAATCAAATAACATACCTGGAAGAAATGCCAAATTCCGGTGCTTTTGTGCCCAAGAAAATCTACAAACACCCAAAGTTCTTAGTATTCAATACATATTTATATCAAGAGGCAACATAGCAGGTTATAGATATCTTAAAATGCATTGCATAAAATATTTAGAAAATGGCACATTAAGTGTTTAAAATAGATTAGTAGTAGTAGTAGTAGAAGAAGAAGAGAAGCCAACTCATTAATATCTGTGCTACTACAAAAGAATAATTTTTTATAATTTAAAAAAAAAATAACCACACAAAGGCAACAAGTTTTAGTCCTAAACTAATTGGGGTCGGCTATATGAATTGTTTGTTTCTAATAGGTCTAATTAAATTAATATCAATACAAAGCAGAGTATAAGTCGAAAAAAAATCTAAAATATTTTTTGTAAAAAAAAAATTTTTGAAGGGGAATTTTAAAATCATTGATATATATTTTTTTTAGCATTCAACAAGGATATCCCCCACATCCTGATTAATAGTTTGATTATGTTAAAGTATTTCCCTAGATGCGGATTTCACGACTTGATCATGCAATCGTCTAGGTGGAGTCTAGTGCGCTTCAACCACTAGACAAAGTCATTTAATATATTAATATACTAATAAAAAGAAAAAAGCATAAATTGGGCAACAAAATTTAACTAGGGTCTATTATATGATTTTTTTGCTCCATTCTATTTTGTTTGTAGCTATATCCTCGCTAATATTCAAAACCGTAAATCCTACATGACAACTTCCCTCCGAGCAATTCTAGTCCTCTTCCTTTTTAGTGCCTGTACTACCAAAATATCACATTGTGAACAGCAGTATAAGGAGGTCTACGTAAGGAGAATGAGCTTTTTACCTATTAACCATGGAACTCTGAGGTAGAGGCATTTTGCAAATGATTATGAGGTTGATTGATAGTCAACCTAAAGTTTTTGAACTCATATTATGCAGTTTTGGTGTCATTTTAGAGGGTTACCATAGAAGTATAGTAGCATTAGCAACGGTTAGTATCTGTTTGAAATTGTCACGAAATGACTTTTAAAAAAGTGAACTTTTAGATGAAACTAGCTTAGCTGTTTGAGAGTTTTATGGCCAAAACATGTTCATTCCACCATTAGAAACTAAATATTGCATGATAATTCTATCTTCATCCCTTACTGCCACACTTCTCTAGATCCAAGTCTAAACTTGAATATTATCATCAATTGATTTTTTTCGATGTTAACAAAACATTTTACATACCAGTTTATGAAAATTAGAAAAAAAAAAAAAAAAATTAGAAGGACACTCACAGGGCACCAGCTCCAAGTGGACCAGCTGCTTTAAAAAGAGACATCCCTGTCATAGCAAGACCATTTGCAGCTCCTCTTTGGTGTTGACTCTGATGTTCAATTTGCAGTTAGATTAATTTAATTACCATAGAATGCAGATACAATAGACCAACTAAGGAAAGATATTTACCACAGCTCTGTTCTGCAGAAGGAACAAGCCTGTTATAATTGACACCTGATCATGCAAAAGCATTTTGAGGATTAGGTTAAAAAATATCCAGCGTGTATAAGCAATAAGCTACACAACAATTCTTTGTGTAGAGATGCTAGCCCACCAATAATAATTTCCAAAATAAAGTAAAACAAGCAGGGCTAAAGGATCAGCTGTTTTTAGGAAGTGGTTCTAATGAATTGGGCTGCCAATATCTAATTTATGCCTGTTGGAATTGTGAGATTTTTGCTGACATTCTCTTAATTAGTTTGAATTTCTGGAGCGAGTTAGTGCTGTCTTTTCTTTTGAAACCTTTCTATCCAGCAGATAATTTCCACTGTAACTGAAATTCTAGTTTACTGTCAAGTAAAGTAAGCATGGTTTGAAGGAGAAACAAGGGAATAAAAAGAGAATTTTATGAAGGATTTGAGTTCCCAAAACTCAAAGTTAGAGTTCTTTCAAACAAGCTCTAAGAAGTTGTAGGGTTCTCTCTTAATGAGGCCTGATTCTACTTTTATGTTCAGTCATACAGATCTATAACTAGATCACAAATTTAGGACCATAACAGGCGCCCAATGTTAATAACACTGCTAAGCTAAAATGTGACCACATACTAAGCAACAAAAACTGAGCTTTCCAACAAGTTCAATCATGGATTATTGGATTATTGGATCCAAATATTCACCTTTCTTGTTTTTTAGTTCTTAGTGAAAAAGGTTTCAAATAGCAGACGTCATACACTACACATATAGTTTCTTGTAAGGCAAAAAAAAAAAAAAAAAAAACACATGTCTAGTTTCTGTAAGGCAAAAAAAAAAAAAAATAAAAAATACTTTTAGAACAAAGAAGGAGAATGGTGCTGGCGACTTCAAGAAGAGAAAGTGAAAAAAAAAAAAAAAAAAAATACTTTTAGAACAAAGAGGAGAATGGTCTGCACTTCAAAAGAGAAAGTGCATAATGTGGATGACTTTATAAGAAAACTTCGAGTTGTAGAGCACTTACAGATAGAACATTCTTCACTACAGAAGCACAATTTAACAAAAGGGTAAGGTTGAACCCTGATAACTTAGCAATAAAAGGGTAACTTGCCAACAATGGAATAGATATAATCTGCATATAAAAAATATATATATAAAAAAAGGAATTATGTCAAAATAAACATTAGCAGCATAAAGCATACAAGCATTGGACAATATGGAATAGTTACCCCTCCTATCCGAGATATCGTTATGGGTCCAAAAATCCTCTCCAAGCATGGATACAAAGAAAGTTGAAATACTAGAAGGCTGAAACCTAGTATTCAAAAAACTCGTCAGATATTTTCTGCATATATTTGTATTGTGTGTGTGCAACAATTATGACCAAAAAGCATGGATGTCGGGCTCTACTAAGTCTCAATTTACTGCAGCATTGTTAGACCTAGTTTTTGCAGTATAATTACCTTCTTCTATTTGTGATTCAATTCAGATTACATACCACAAATGACAGTTTAGAGATGTTTATGTTGTTTCCACTCAACAATATTCTCCTAGTCTTGAACTTATATTTATATGATATATCTTTTATCCTATGAACTAGAGCTACAAACTCTAATGGATTTCGAATATAAAGTGAAGTAATTAGGTTGTAAGATGTATATTTGAATGAGGTTGGCTAATTTAAAGGAAAATCAAGCACATAACAATAGAAATGGCCTTAAAAAGAAAGAAAAATTGCATGAAACATCTTTTGATATGACTATTAAGTACACTGCTTCATCCGTCTAGAACCCTAAATTCTCACACCAAGTACTTCAATTCAACTAAAAGCCAAATATGCCTATAGAGGCTACAACCTTATGTAGAGAAAACTAAAATAGAAATTGTTAAAAGTAGTCCTTCTAAAATATAAAACACTTAAATTGCCTACTAAACATAGATAAATCACTTACCATATTTCCTACCATCAAAAGAAGATAAATAAGTTGAAAGGAGTGGGGGGAATATAAACTACATCATTCTCCACTTCTTCTGAAGAGTACAACCTCGAAGGATTTGTTGTAAGCAACAGAATATAAATCAAATATTCTTGACCTTCATATTCATTAGACCCTAGTAGTCAATTGGGCTATAATTTCTTCATGTTCATTTGTCTTTATAGACTGCATCGTCCTTTTTCCATCGAACCACAGTAATGTTCTGTATTCTTGAGGCACTTCTTGTAACTATACCCTTTTTCCTCTAGAATCTTAACACTCAAATTCGTTGAACGTTGACTTAGACTATTAAAGTTGGAAAGATTTGGCTGGCATAAGAGTTGAATGTCATTTTCATCAAGTCCATCATATACTAATTCCTCTTCTCAGCGTCCCTCCCTCGCATAATTGCAGCTTCAGCAATAGAAGAAAATAACCTTCAAATTAACCTGAATGCCTTAATTAGGCCCACCAATACTTTCAAGAATTTTACATTGCTAATGTCTTTTCGACGTTACTGTTAGCAACTTGCTTAAGGAACTCCAAGGTGTAGGCATCAATGTCCTTGTCCCCTTGAGTAAGAGCACATAGATCGGAATACAATTCCCTTTCATAATGAATGGGAATTAACTGTCCCCTATTCAAAGTCAAAGCAAGACTATGCCACCGTGTGCTGTTATATTCTCCGACCAACTCCTAATCATTCCTCACAGTATGGTATTTGAAGATGCTTTCCATAAGATTGGATTCAACCAATCATGCCGATTCTTTAGATCACCCTCCCAATTAAATTCAGGTAGATCAATTTTTTAACATAAACTAGAGCATATGTTTGTGGAGGTGGTGGTGCAGCAAAGTATATTTCAGTATATATGATTAAAATAATATGAATTTTCTCCACTAAATTATTACTTTTTTTCCCCATTAAATTATTACTTTTATTTATTGCCCCCAATAACTAAATATTCTGGATCCATCTTTGTGTGTTGAAAAAGTTGATGATGAGGGACAGTGTTGGTAATAAGAAAATTAAAAAATATATAGAAGAAAAAAGAATAGTGATGATGATGATGATGATGATAGATGAAGCTAATAGTAACTTTATTATGAGATAGTCTATGCACTAAGATCCAATCTTTTATTGCACACCTGAAATGGAGAGAACTTCCCCAACATCCTCAGTTGAGTAGCTCAGGCCCCCGAACTTTCTAGGGCTGACAGCCCATAGTGAAAATATCTATAGAAGATACATTGAATTAATAACATATATCCAATCAGACATGAAAAACTAATAACATAACATAAAATAATAGTTCAATTTGGCAGCATTGCAGAAGTTTCTATTGGAAACTGAACCCAGTCTTAACTGCAATTTCTAAATCAGGAACCTCTTATTTCACATTGACAATTATAGTTCATTAAGTTCTAAATAAATCTTGACAACAGCAATTGGAACCCACAGACTTTGGATTCATGCTAATTTATTAAAAGGGCAAGTATTAACATTTGTTTCACTCTAGAACACTTCCAAAAGAACTAGGCAGTCATAATGACAATAAAGCTACCCTTCATTATACTGATGATCTAACTAAGAATGCTAGAAATGTAATAGCTTATGTTATCTTGAGTTCTATCAAAAAATGGTGATATTTATTGTGGCAACAATCAATGGTGGTGTTATTTTTTGTTATATGGTACTGCAGATACTAATGCTAGTGGGAAACAGCTACTAGTTGGGGTCACAACGATAGAGCTAACTAGACAAAAGTAAAGCTCAACTTTCTTCTCCTCAGCTTAATGATATGGATCAGCTGGCACGACTAATTCTACCAATGCATAATAGTATCATACACTATGCATCAAGCTTGTTTGAAAATGAAAGGCCAGTTTAAAGAGGGTCTTTATGAGCAGTTACCCATGCCATCCAAATATCAACAAATCCCAATGCTTCTAGCATCTTCAGGAAATTTACGAATCAAAACTACTTCAACCGTTCAATAAAAATTAGTGTCCTTTGGTTGTTTGATCTTATGATATTTTACAGTGCAGCAAGTTAGAAAAAACCATATACAAGAGAATCCTCTATTAAGAGATGCCCTAAAACACAAAGAAGATTCTTTCATGAGAAAAAGCACTATTGTGTTGTTGTCTCATTTTGAAGTTCTCTTGGATCGGCAACATTCTACACCAACAAGCTTTCATCAAAGTGGGGAATTGGTTATTACTGATCAAGGCAATACATCAACAAGTTTTACAGAGAGTTAACACTCTCCTGAGGCAATTACTTAAAAATGCAAATGGACAAAATATTATTAACAATGAGATTAAAATAGAGATATTCTACTACGATATTGATAAAATAAATATTATTGAATCCACAAGCACAGTCAATGAAATATTGCATGCTAAGACTTGGTATGAGAAATACCTCTCCATAAGCCATATCATGAAGAGCGAAAACACAATATACAATGATAGATGACATTAAAGGCCAATTCCTTAGGAGGCTTTCCTCAGAAGTTGGTTTATTTCCCTCGTTGTCTGGTTTTCCTTCATTTCTTTTAGACCCAGTAAATCCAATTTCCTTATCGTCTACTGTATCATCAACTGAAGAACTATGTTTGTCATGCGTATGCAGTGTTTCCTGCAAAAAAAAGGAAGGTGTCTTTATTGCAGTAAAGATTTATTTTACATTTTTATAACAAATTTTAAAATTTTAGTGTTTGTTATCCCTGTCAGTCAAATAATACAAATACTTTCTATAAGAACCCACCAGAAAAATGCATGAATTTCATTATACCATTTCTAGGACTGTCCCTTTTCGTCTGATATTTCATTAGAATAAATATAAATATTAGAGAATGTAGATTTTCCTATGTTTCATTTTTGTTATCTTATTAGAACAAATTAAAGTATCTTATTTACCACACGTTGGAATGTCTCTTAGTAATGACTAATGACACCTCACCTGATTTGGAATAGAAAAACTAATATCTACTATGCGAAGTAAAACCATTGGTAAAATAAGAACAACCCTATATTCAAAGTCCCGTTTTAGCATTTACTTGTATTTTGGAGCACAGAAATTATCATGAATGCTTTATGAAACTTTGCTTCTTAGATGGTGGTTGGGCTTGCATTGGTTATTAGTTTCAAACAGAAGATTAAAATTTAGTGAGCTCATTTTCGACCTTTAGTTCATAGATGCATATTTGATAACTATAGATACACAATAAAATTAGTAAATAAACTTAGATACTTGATTAAAGCTCACAAGCACTATTGCAATATTCAAACTTTACTCCACTCTCAATAACTTAAAACTGAATTCAAGCGCAAACCCAAGTTCTAATGGCATGCAGCTCAAATATTTAGCAAGCCAAGCCTTAGTGTCTTGACTAATTTATACCCAATAGGAAATAAAAAAAATAAACGCAGCATAATAAAGACTTTCTTTACAATGTGGAGAAGATTAAATTAGGAACTCAGCTCCATTCCATCAAATCAGTAGCTAAGTACAATTAGAGAATAATTAAAAAAAAAAAAAAGAAGTGCTAGACATAATAATTCTTTAAATGTATAACAAAAAATCACTCTGAAATAAAATAAAAAGCATAAGTGCACAAGAAATAGCTTATTAAGACAAGTACCGGAAGCCAGCAAGAAGCAATTGTGACCCCCAGTGCAAAAACTGACATGCAGAAGCAGGGTAGGAAGTATGGAAATCTGCATTATAAATCATGTTGGGGATACCATTATACTAATAGAAAAAGTACATAAATATAAAACCATTCAGAAATCAATATCTTACAACAAAATTAGAACACTAACCTCCCAAACAAAGATTCTTTCGAAAAAATATTTGGATATTTCTCTGCTGGCTGAAGTGTCAAGTTGTCCACAAACATTAGAAGCACAACTAATTAGCAGAAAAGGAGGTGGCAGAAAAACACACAGAGAGAGAGAGAGAGAGAGAGAGAGAGAGAGAGAGAGAGAGAGAGAGAGATCTGACATAAGCAGTAAAGCCGGAGAGTAGGAAAGTAATGGAAGATATGCATTAAACAATACAGTGAATTGAGAGAGGATCTACCCATTCATACTCTAATTAAGATATAAGTATCTTATAATAATATATACAACCTATATCAGTGAAATCAATATATCTTAACAACAAATTAGAACACTAACCTCCCAAACAAAGATTCTTTCGAAAAAATATTTGGATATTTCTCTGCTGGCTGAAGTGTCAAGTTGTCACAAACATTAGAAGCTACAACTAATTGCAGAAAAAGGAGGTGGCTAAAAAACACACAGAGAGAGCGAGAGAGAGAGAGAGAGAGAGAGAAAGGAGAGAGAGAGAGAAAAGAGAGAGAGAGAGAGAGAGAGAGAGAGAGAGAGAGAGAGAGAGAGATAAGAGTAAGACTGAGACAATGCAAACTAATCAGGAACAATGATTCTATACAAGCAATGAAAATGAAATACTTTCAAGAAATACAAACTGACCAAAAAGTATATAGATATGATTTATATTTAAAAAAAAAGCTATTAAAAAGGGTTTTTCAATAATTAAATTAGTTTATAATGCCATAGTTATACTAGCTTCCTAATTTTAGCTTGCTATGTAAATTCTTTTAGTAATTAATATATTCTTAATTCTCCTTTAATTCATTGAGTCTCTAATTAATATATACTACTTCCTAATTAATATATTTTTCATTCTTCAATTCTCATTTCAATGAATCACTATAAATACAATTGTATACATCTTTTCAATATTATAAAAGCATAGAAGCAAGTATATCTAGATTTCAAATTCAAGCTTGTGTACAATATGTTAGAATATTGCAATTACGTGATGAGATTATGCTTATATTAGGTTGATATTAGGCTGATATTATGTTGTAAATTAGGCTGTAATTATGAGATCCATTTTCCATACAGTTTCATTCTTTGTACTATTCATACCCTAACAAGCTTGAGGAAATAATCAAGCTAAAAGCTTCAAACTTCTCCCTCTCTCTTAAGTTTTCTCTTCTCTTTTCACATGGTATCAGAACCTAATGAGGTCTGATTCTTTTCCTCCTCTTACCCTCATTTTCTTTCCATATTCTGTTGTTGCTGTCTCTGTCTCTGGTCTCATTTCTGTCACAAAACTACTGCCAACTGAACCTACCCATTTCTAATCTCAAGCATCCCTCAAGTAATTTCATTGCTAGAAGCCTAGCCGTTGATCACTGCACACTGCCACAGAATCTTAGGCTCTGATCCATGCGCCAGCTTGTGAGCCGTTTTCTAGCTACTTCTCCAACCGAAAAGCATAGCTACAGCCTCGCAAGAAGCCGGTGACCATCCCCACTACTCTCTCACTCGGATCATCTTCCTTCTGTCAAGGTAAAAACAGTAACTTCAAAACTGTCATGTCAAGTCTTCAGTCTCAACATGGCCGAAAACGTGCTTGAGATCGGTGAATCTTTCACTCCAGGTCTTTCTAAACCTCTTCTCTCAAGATCTACTATTACTACTGTCAAATTACAAGGTAATAGTAATTACATCTCTTGGCATGCTTAGATAGAGTTAAGGTTTATGGGACGGGTTTATGACGACCTCTTAAAAGAAAATGCTACTCATATTGTTGCCATGGATAGGACAAACTGTTATCGATGCATTCGTGGGTTGGGTTGATTTCTTTAGCTGGTAGTTATTTCCTTTTTCAATAAAACTGCTGTTTGGAAAGTTGATTTTCATTAGGAAGTTTTCTTTTATTAGGAAACCTGCAACATGACTTCTATTTCTGCACTAAGTCTTGCCTATTTATGGGGTAATTGCAACAATAAAACGTAAGTCGTAGTTCAACAAAAACAAGAGATCGGAGTTCTCTCTTCCATTGAAATCTAAGGTTTCAGTCTCCCTTTATCGAGCTGAATTGATATTCAAAATACGTCGACTTAAGAATCCAAACAAGAGCAAAGGAAAGTCAGATTTAGATTTTCCCATTCATCATCCTGTGATCTGATCCTTAACTAGAAATCCTAACAATTTGGTATCAGAGCCAAAAACAATGGGCGACGACATCCATGCTCTATTAGAGGAAGAACGTTGCCTTACGGACTCAAAATTATCAGCAATGGAACAATTTCTACGTGAGAGACTTGCACAAATACTCCAAGAACAATTGTCCGGCTTGGGACTCGACGCCAACAAGCCAATACCTAACGGAAGCGAAGCAAGCAACAGCAATGGATGAACCGCCGGCGCCGGCGCTACACTTCCTTACCAGTCTACGGTTCCCAAGTATGCAAAATTAGATTTCCCAACTTATGACAGAACGGAAGAACCTTTAATTTGGGCTCATCTTTGCGAACAATCATTTCAGAATCAAAATGCAACTGAAGCAGAAAAAGTGGGACTAGCTGGTTTTTTCACCTTTTAGGAGGAGCACAGATGTGGTATTACCAATTGAAGAGGGCTATGGGTTCAATGCATTGGGCAGACTTTTTGAAATTTTGTTTTGAACAATTCGCGCCCCCTGAGAGTAGTAACCCAATTGGAGAGTTAGTCACCCTTAGACAGACGGGAACAATAGAGCTGTACCCAAGGCAATTTCAGGAAAAATTGGGGCGTGCTAACGAAATAGTACCAGAACATCTACATGCAGGTTTATTCGTTTTTGGGTTAGATGACTTGATAAGGTGGATGTCCAATTACTCAGACCGCCAGACTTGTCCGCTGCCATGAGCTTAGCCAGGGCATATGACCAAAAACAACAACTCCAAAAAGTTATCAACAGTAGCAAGGGGGTGTGGCAGCCGCCTAAAACAAGTTTGGGTGATTCAAAGAACTTGCAAACAAGAAATACCAGTACCTTACCAACTTCTTCTACAATGGCTAGTTCTCCAGTCAACAACTAATCCCTCTTCATCAAGAGACTAAGCAGAATGGAGATGGCAGAAAGGACTAAAGAGTTGTGTTACAAGTGTGATGAGCCCTATTCCGCAACCCATCAATGCAAGAAACTCTTTCGGGTGGAATTGGGCAATACGGATGATGGTACGCCTACAGAAGATGTCTTCCTTGGAGCTTGAGGACAAGCTCTTTCAGCGGGAAGGGGTTAATGTTATAGATGCATTCGTGGGTTGGGTTAGCTGGTCGTTATTTCCTTTTTCAACAAAACTGCTGTTTGGGAAGTTTATTTTCATTAGGAAGTTTTCTTTTATTAGGAAGCCTGCAATAGGACTTCTATTTCTGTGATAATTCTTGCCTATTTATGGGGTAATTGCAGCAATAAAACGTAAGTCATAGTTCAACAAAAACAAGAGACCGAAATTCTCTCTTCCATTGAACTCTAAGGTTTCAGTCTCCCTTTATCGAGCTGAATTAATATTAAAAATAGGTTGACCTAAGAATCCAAACAAGAGCAAAGGAATGTCAGATTTAGATTTTCATGTTCATCGTCCTCTGACCCAATCCTTAACTAGAAATCCTAACACAAACTGGACTGACATTGATGCACAACTATGTAGTCTTTTATGGCATCCTGTTGACACTAAATTGCTAACTCTGTTTCAATCCTGCAAAACCTGTTGTAAGGCCTAGACTAAAGCTAGAACTTTGTATATTGATGACATTTAATTTATGTACAAATTTGTTTCCAATATTGGCCATTTACAATAAAATCAACAGGATATGGCGAGTTAGCTTGGAACAATGGAGACGTTGAGAGATGAATTTAATTATGTTATGCCCTTCTCAGAAAACATTGTTGCACGAGAACAACAGGGAGACAAGTTCTTTATGGATTTGTCTCTAATAAGACTTTGGTCTTATCTTGCTTCTATAAGGGACCAAGTATTGACATAATTCCTACTCTTGAGGATATCTTTGCACATCTTCTTCGAATCTCTGTCACTCCCAGAATTGAAATTGAAATATCTGTGCTTGTTGTACAGCGTCAACAAGGATAGAGTGGTCATAAAAAATGGAAAGGCAAAGGTCCAAGTCATATTGTAATTAGTATGACAAGGGTGGTCACACAAGACAAGCATGTTAGAAACTGCATGGTAGACCACAAAATCAATCCATCAATACTGGTAGGCTTGTTGCTCATTTGGCCCAGACTAGTGGAACTGGACTTCTCCCATTACCTGATTAATCACTCAATTCTATCACTTTGACTGGATCAGATTACATTGAGTATTTAATATCTCAAGCGTCCAAACAACAAGCTAAACAACAGTCATCTACCATCTCTTATTCTAGTAATTTAGTTGCTTGTCTAACCAAATCCACAACCACTGATGTTCTGACCATATTTCTAGAAATGAAACTTTTCTCCTCCGCTCTTTTTGTTCCTCCAACATTTACAGTCACTCTAGCCGATGGTTAATTGTAATTAAAGGAATTAGGGAAGTACAACATTCTCCTTTACTTACTTTAACCTCAGTGTCATTTCTCTAGAATGTCCATAAACCTAATTTCCATTAGCAAATTGACCAAACAACTTAGTTGTATTGTATCCTTTATAGCCCTCTATGTTTTTATGCAAGACCAATGTACGGAGAAATGATAGGAGCAGGATATGAGTCACAAGGGTTGTATTACCTCTCTGCACCGAAAACCACAATTGCACTTACTTCCGTCGAACTCCTTCATTGCCACTTTGGACATTCCAATATCATTAAACTTAAACAATTAGTTCCTACTCTTTCAACATTGTTTTCTCTCGAGTGTGAGTCATGTCAACTTGGCAAACAAACCCGCATTTCTTTTCCTAAGCAAGTCAATAACAAAGTTACATTTATTATTCCTGTTGTACTTGGTTATTTCTTATGAAAAATCGTCCTGAGTTATTTTCTATTGTCCAAAAGTTTTATGCTGAAATTCGCAATCATTTTGGTGTTTCCATTAAAATGTTATGCAATGATAATGCAAAAGAGTATTTTTCTCACCATTTTAATCATTCCATTTCTTCTCAAAGAATTGTTCATCAATCTTCTTGTACTCATACTCAACAAAATGGAGTTGTCAAAGGAAAGAATCGGCATCTTATTGAAACAACCTGTACTTTATTTATCTATAATAATGTTCCACTTCGAGGGGATGCTCCTCTTATTGCTTGTTTCTTATTAATCTAATGCTGTGACATCCCAGGTTTGGGGCACAACACCTTAGGCGAATCCCACATCGGCTACGCACAAGGTGGAAGTCCTATACATAAAGGGTGGCAACCTTCCAGGTTTGG